TGCCCTGAGACTTTTAAGACACCCACTGTATGTTGGGGAGTTTGGGGGTGTGCATGTGTATACACGTATATTATGATATGCATATATATATACACACAGACCCATGCATATATAATGTGTATATATTTTATATGGATATAGAAATTGTGCTTTATAATTTATACGATCAAATAGGCATGTATCTTTTAAACTCTGAAGGCTTAAAACTTCTCTGAGATACTGTCTGTGTATGTATCTATACGCACATTTATAAAGAAGTGTGCATACTGTGTCCATCTGAGTATACGTGTGACTTTGTACTAATACATAGTATTAGTAAAAACTAATATGCATGTCTGTATCTGTGGGTGCTTGTACACACACAAGTACACATACGCGCATGCACATGCACACGCAGGGTCCTGCCTGTCCAGTGGGGTCGCGCGTGGGCTGAGCCAGACTTGAAGAGTGAGGCCGGCGTAAGGAAGGTGCCCCCACCCTAGGACCTGGGTTCCAAGCTTTCTACGGACACTCGTAGGTTGTGAGATTTCAAGCGAGCTGGAATGGGGCCGACTACAGAAACAAAAGTGAGATGGCCTGACCCTCAGTGCGCTCAGGGATTTCTGAGTTCTCCTTCTGAAGAGGAGAGGCGAAGAAGCACCTGGGTTCGAGTCCTGCGTGTCACCCTAAGCCTCAGTTTCCCCCGTTGTAAAATGAGGGGGTTGGGCTGGATGACTTCTGAGAGTCCTCCCTGCCCTAAGTCTGTGCTGTAGTTAGGAGGCATGTCCCTGGATGCCCCGAACACGAGGCTGCGTGTGTCCGACGCCCCCCTCCTAGGGCCCCGCAGCCAGGTCTGGGCTCACGCCTGGTGACTAGTGATGACTCAGCCCCCGGAGGAGGAGAGCTGAGGTGATCCGCTCAGCCAATCAGGAGGCGGCCCCCGGAGCAGCCCAGATCTCGGAGCTGCAGCGGGAGAGACTTAGGCTCTCCTGGGCTGGGCGGGGTGGGGGGAGGAGAGGAGGAAGGATGGATGGAGGGAGGGATGAAGCGGGGAAGGATGGAGGGAAAGAGGGAATAAGGGATGGGGAGAGGGAGGCGTGGAGAGGAAGGGGATGGTTGGAAATGGGAGGGAGAAGACGAGAAAAAATACAGAGAAGGGGAAGGGGATATGGAGAGGGGATGAAATATAGAGGGGGAGGGATGGAGAGGGGGAGGGAGATGACAGGGAAGGGGACTGGATAGGCTGGAGGGGAGGGGGAGAGGGAAGAGAGTCCGAGGACCAGCTGAGCCCTTGGGGCTGCTGAGGGGGAGGAGGGGGCTCTCCTGGGCAGGGAGGGGAATGAGGGCTGGAGATAGAGGGGTAGGGGAGGAGGTACCCACACTGCAGCCAGGGTAGGAGCCGGGCAGGCCCTTTATCCAGAGGCTGTACCCCTATGTTATGGAGGTTTATCCAGAGGCTGCGGATGCCGCCTTGGAAAGCCCTTCGTGGAAAGCCTGTGCTGGCCCCCGAGCGTCTGTGTGGTCCTGCACAAGCCCGTTCCTCTCCTGCGCCTCAGTTTCTCAGGCTGTTCCAAGATCCCTCTCAGTTCTGATTTTCCGTGGTCCCTCCCAGCTCTGACGTTCTCTCTTTTGTGTTCTAAGGCTGGTTCTAGGCAGAGCAGGACTGCTGTATTAACGTCTCTAACCGTAACCCTAAGCACCTTGCTTTTTCTGAAGTGGTGTGTAGGATTCTATTAGGCTACCCAACACCAAGTACTTACTTCCCAGAGAGCTGAGAATTTAAGGATAAGAAGAGTTTACACTCGGATCTAGGACCGTGAGGTGTTTCCTCTCAACAATACTGAGGGGAGTAGCCCAGGCATTATTATACCCATTTTATTGGTGGTAAACTGAGGGTGTGGCTCACCTCACTTGGCCTAGGCAATAATTGGTGGAGCTGGGATTAGAACCCGTTTCACTCTTCTTCCTTCAGCTGAAAGTGTGTTGTGAATGGATAGAAAGCAGAGTGGTTACTAAGGTCCCAAAGACCATGGTTCAAAGGTTCAAATCCCAGCTCTGACACTTGTTCACTCTGTGACCGAGGGTAAGTCACCTAACCTCCCTCTGTCTCAGTTTTCCCACCTGTAAAATGGGCACAATAATGATGCCCCTCCCTCACTGGCTCAGAGGAGATCAATTCACAAAATGCTTCATCCCTGTGAGTTGGTATCTCTAAAATCTCTTCAAGTTTTCATGTCCTGAGTGAATATTATCTGTACCCCTATGTTATCTAAATGGAGGCACGCAGTGTCAGCCCAGCTCCTGACTCACCGAGTCGCACAGGGTCGCTGGTTTTAGGGGAGGCTTGTCTGAGCTCAGCCAGACCAACCCTTGCCTCCCCACCCCCACTTCACAGAAATGCCCGAGCAGTCTCAGCTAGGGGCAAGGGGAAGCGAGCTCCCCAAAGCCCCATGGCAAAAGAAGCCCTGTCTCCTGATTCCCAGACCGGGATGTTTGCCTCTTCACCAGGGGCTCCCTCGAACTCAGAAGGAAAGGAACACACAGTGAGGTCACCCAGCCACTGAACTAAGACTCAGGCAGGGCACTTGACCTGCCCCAGGTCATGTCGTGGGTTAGCAGAGGAATCAGGCAAAGGACCGAGGTTTTCAACTGCCTTGTCCCCATCACAAGGCCTCCCACGTGACAGGTGCTGAATAATTGTTTGATCTCCTCCCCCAAGGACAGGTGACTCCCAATCCAGACCCTTGGTAGCTGAGGGACACTGAAAGGACCTTGGAATTGTGTCTGGAAGAGCCCTCAGAGGACACTGCTACTCCCTCCTTTTACAAAGAAGGAAACTGAGGCCCAGGGAGGAGAAGGGGCTGTCCAAGGTGATACAGGGAGCCAAATGGCAGAACCAGGAAGGGAGTGGAAGCTTCTGCTCTGTTTGGACCTAAAGGTGCAAAAGTTAAGTTACTAAGGGTGTTGAGCTTAAAGGAAAGATGATCTTCTAATAAGGTTGACTTGTTACTAGAGTTTTTGGGGCGGGGGGGACTGAGATCTGCCATTTCATTGGTACATGGTATTCCTAGCACAGGAATTCCCTCTCCCCCGTGCCGATCTTACAGCCTTGTCATGAGAATGATAGGTCAGAGTATAGAATGCTGCGTGATTGCCATTTTAGTTTGATTAAATAAGTATGGATTAAGCACCTACTGTGTACCAGGTAGTGTGTGCTGGGCACTAGAGATTCAAAGGCAAAAAGGAGAAATCTCCCTGCCCCAGTGGGACTTCCATTCTCCTGGGGTGTTGGGGGGGGGGGTGGAGATCTAGACAAGGACAAGAGTAGAGATAAAGCATCATTAAGAACGAGGACAGTCCTGGAGGGCTTCCTGTAGGAGGTGGTTTGAAGAAAACCAGTATTATCAAGAGGAAGTCGATCATTCCAAGCCTGGAAGACTGTCTGAAGAAGTGTTCTGCATACATCAAGTGATGCAGAAAAGGATTTCCCCATGTTTGCCTCGCCTCTAGGGAGCCAAGAGATGGCCAAAAGACAGAGAGGGGCCAAATATGGCTCAATGTAAGGCCCTCCTGATGCTGCTTCAACAGGTAGTGAGCTCCCTGCCACCGGAGGGCTTCAAGCAGAAACTCAGTATTGTAGCAGAGAACCCTTTACAAGGAAAGTTGGATTAAAAAGGCTCCACAGTTCCTTGTGGGGAGGGGCCTCATCCAGGAAAATCCCAGAAAAGCACAGAAGTCCTCGTGTGATGGGGCCAGTGGGTGCCCACTTCTAGCCCACACAGGCCCATGAGGTCACCCAGCAGCAGGTTTGTACACATCTGCAGGGCATTAGGGTGCAAGTGGCCAATGGGCAGGTTTATCCAGAACAGCTTCCTGGGACTAAGAGCTGCCCCCAGGAATGACCAGACCAGGAGGGAGGAGATCCCCCCCACCCCAGCAGAGGCTGGACGCCTAATTCCCTTGGACGTTGGAGTGGGGATCCTTGAGGAGCCAGAGCAGATGGAGGAGCCGGTGAGGTGACTTTGGGCCCTGAAGCGCTCTCTCTCTGTATATAACCCAACGAGATGCCCACAACGAGATGGGCAGTAAGCTTAGTCTCGGCTACGCCGGTTACCAGGCAACCCTGGTCTAATCAGCTCGTTTCTGTAAAATGGGCACAGTGACATCTCCCAGGAAAGCTCTTGGTGAACTTTAAAATGAGAGAAATGAACCCCTAAAAATAATCCCTCGGCCCTGCTCTGTGCCCAGTCGCGTCATGGCAAGAGAGACCTGGGACACAAAGGTCCAGCCCAGGCCCCCATCATCCTTCCCTCGGCTGCCTCAGTGGTTTCTTAAATTGCAGGGCTGGGTGTTCAGCACTCCCAGAGGGCTCCTTGTGCACCTGAGGTTAAATAAAGTCCTTTGCTGGTGTTTAAAGCCCTTCACAATCTGGCTCCAAACTCCCTTCCCAATCTCATCCATCACGCCCCCTTCACACACTCTGGCGATGCAGTCAATTAGCCTTCTCCTGTTCCTCGAAGAGAACAGTGTCTCCTGCCATGCAGCCAAGTGGCCTGGCATCCGGAAGCCCTGAGTTCAAATCCAGCCTCAGAGCCTTACTAGCTGTGTAACCTCGAGCAAGTCATT